AGAAGTGACAAGACTGCCACATAGGAAAGGAAAGCTTACACGTGCTTCCAGTGTAAGTGAGACATGTGCATGGAACATGCAGTTGTCATGTGTGAATACTGCCTTGGGTGTGACAGTTGAATCAAAGCTTATTCTTGTGGTGGAATTCTATTGGTATTTTTATTGTAGCTCATATAGTAATTTATTTCTGATGTTATCTTTTAGGTTTTGTAAGGAAGTACATGTTTGATGTGAAAATGTTAATGTCTATTCAAAGTATAGAATACATATTAAGAATTTATATTATTGATACTTTATGTTTCTGTTAACTACACACTATATTATATAATGACATCCTCCTGAAAAAAATAGCAGGACCACTGAGATGTCAAGTATGTCCTATAGAAAGGCCAGGAGAGCAAAACACATGTGCTGTCACAGTAAATGATGCACGTGTATGGAATCTGCAGTTGTCATGTGTGCAGACCACCTTACGTGTGATAATTGAAGTAAAGATTTATTTTGTTTGTGGTGTACTGTTGCTACTTTCATTGTAGTTCATGTGGGAATTTATTTCTGATGTTCTTTTTTTAGACTTTACACTAAGAACCAGTCAGTGTTGAAAATTCTGATGCTTTTTTGTAAACAATAAATATTAAAAATTCAAATACTTTATTTTTGTGATTTCTTTCCTATTAAGTACTCATTGTTTAATAGAATAAAACTCATAAAATTAAAATTAATAATTCACCAGTAGAAGTATTCTAAAAAATAAACATGGGTCAGACCCACATTTATGTGCCTTGATGACAAAATTAGTCTTATGCTTCAAGGGCTACACAACACTTTAATGAAGTGGATGTAAGGGACATACAGTGGAATTTTTATGAATTCAGTTCATTCCTGAGGGCTGGTTGTAACTCAAGTTGTTAATTGAAGGCTTAGGCTCCGCTACATGGCCTTCAGAGTCTCTCCTATACAGGCAGATATCAGTGTCCTTAGAGAGACATTGGTCCAGAATTTCTCCATTAATACCATAGAGGAAAGGATATTGTAATGTTCCTTCCAAAACTCTTTTAAGAGGTAAATCTATACCATCTGGAAGCACAGGCAGCTGGCATTTGGGTAATAAACTCAAGACTTTGGTTGTAAGTTGAAACTAAAATTCCAGTCATAATCCAAGTTGTTCATTTGTCAGGCTGGTTGTAACTTGAGTGTCCCCTGTTTGTAGAATATTCCATCCAACAGTGTCAGAACACATTATTTTCAAGAGAATATGGACCATTCTGTTGGATAGGTCATGCGTTAGGCCACAAAAACAAGCCTTAACAAATTTAAGTAGATTGAAATCATAACAGGTATCTTTTCTGGTTACAATGATATGACATGAGATATTCATAGTAACCCAAATATCAGAAAGTCCACATATATAGAAATTAAACAGTGTGCTTCTGAACAACTGGTGGATCAAAAAAAAAAAAATTAAAAAGGAAATTAAAATGTTATCTTGAGATAAAAATGGAAACACCAAAGTCATAGGGTTTAGGACAAACATTTCTAGAATGGAAACTTCATAGTAATAAATGCCTGCATCCAAAAGGAAGAAAGATCTCAAATAATTTAATGTTGCACCCACCAAAGGTACTAGAAAAATTAATTCTGAACTTAGTTGATGGATGGAAAAATATCAAAGCAGAAATAAGTGAAATGGAAAATAGAAAAAGAGTCAATGAATCCACAAAACTAAAAGTTGGGATTTTGCAAAGATTGTATCAGTGCAATTTCTGGGTGGCTGAAGCAAGAGAATTGCCAAGTTTGACCCTAGCCTGGGCACCATAGTTTTTAGTGAGACTATGTCTCAAAGAACTGGGAATGTGGTGTGGCTCAGTGTGAAGGTCCTGGATTCAATCCCAGTTTGGGAGGAGGAGATTTCCAGTGTTATTTTTTCACAGACAAGAAATAATTCTCAAATTTACATGAAATCACAGGCGCCATTGACTAGCCACAGCAGTCTTGAATTTAAAAAAAAACAGAGGTATTATACTACTTGATTGAAAATACACTACCAAAGCTATAATAATCAGACAAGTATAGCATAAGAACACACATAGATGCAGCATAATAAAGAAGCTAAAAATAAATCCACATACTTCCTATACACTTTTGCCAAAGGTGCTGAGAGCATGAGAGGGGAAAGGGCAATCTGTTCAGTAGCTGGTCTCAGGAAAATTGGGCACCCACATGGAGAAGATCGAGATTTGACCCTTCACTCGCACCCTGTACGGAACTCAACTCGAAATAGTTTCAAAATATAGATATGACATCTGAAACTGTAAAAGAACTAGAAGACACAAAGGAAAAACTTAATATTGCTCTTGGCAGTGAGGTGGTTTTTTTGTTTGTTTTGTTTTGTTTTGGGCCCTGTACCCGAACACATAGCAGAAGCAAAAATGGGCAAATGTGACTGCATCAAACTACAAAGCTGCACAAACCAAGGCTGTCATTCAACAGAGTGAAGGCACCCAAGGGAATGAAGGAAAGCATTTGCAAGCCACGTACCTGAGAGGAGGCTAATGTCTAAAATATATAAGGGATTGAAACAGCTCAGTGGTAGGAAAGTAACCCAGTTAAGAAATAGGCAAAATATCTGAATGGATGTTTCTTGAAAGTCATTCAGATGATTAATTGGTAAATTTTTAAAAATACTGACATCTCTGTAGTCATTTAGGAGTGAGATATGATCTCAGGTTGCTGAGATGTTTAATAGAATAAAATATCCATGTTGTTTTAACATCCGTGTTGCTGAGAATTAACATCCATGTTGCTGAGAATGTAGAGAAAGAACTTTTTGCACATAGTTTGTGAGAATGTAAATTAGTAGGGGGGATAATATTGGAGTTCCTCGAAATATTAAAAATAGAACTACTATGACAGCAACCTTACTGTTGGAAAACATTAAAATACAACTGCCATGATTTAGTCACCATGTCGACTGTATAGTTAAAGGATATCTACGTGCTCCTTTCCGTTGCAGTGTTAGTCACAACAAAATACAGTTAAACTAAGTATTCAGTGGATGTGTACATAAGGAAAATATATATATGCACAATGGAATACTATTTAGCCATAAAAGGATTAAATCCTCTTATTTCTAACAAGATGGATGGACAGGTTAATATGTGAAGTCAAGCCAGACACAGGAAAATAAATACTTCATGATACCACTTATATGTTGAATGTAAAATGTTGATATTCTAGAAGTAGGCAGAAGAGTATTGGTTATGAGGGTCTACAGAGATGGTGATCCAAGAATTTAAATTTTCAGTTAAAAGTTAGTAGGTATCTATTTTATGGCATGGTGGCTGCAGTTAATAACAATGTATGTTTTAGAAATTGCTAAGAAAGGAAATTGTAAGTATTCTCACCATTAAAATGCTATGTATGTGAAATATTTCTTATATTAAGTAGCTTAATCTAGCCATTTCACAATATGCGTATTTTAAAACATGTTATACAATTCTTGTCAATTAAAAAATAAGTTTGAAAAACGTCTCTTGATATGTCAAAAAGAGTGGTGTGAGTAAGAGTTAGCAGGATAGTTGAGATGATAACAATGAGAGGTTGAGTGTTTAGTATGCCTAAGATAGACAAAGGAGTGGTTAGTTGAATAAAGTGAAGGTAAAGATCTTTTAAATTAAAGGCAGATTATTTTGAAAGACTAGAGTATTAAAATAGATCATGCACGTAGACATTTTTAAAGTCTTACTGATGATGTCATGGGGCAGGAGGAGGTAAAATAGAGCCTTTAGCCTTTGGGTGTAATTTATCAGAACACCAAAGAAAGCCACGAGGCATTAAGGTACTTGCTTACTGTTTTGTTTGGGGCAGTGGTCACTGTTTTTAATGCAGGGAATTTAGAAAAATGATGGTAAACTTACAGGTTTTAGAATTCTTGACATCTTACGTAAAAGGGTTGCAGGATAAAGCAGTGTCTTTGGGAAAGAGCCAGGATTTAGTAAAATCAAAGAGATTGAAGAACTTTTATTTAACAAGGGACAACCTATGTTAACTGGGCTTCTAGAGAACTTGGTGGAGTGTTAGGAGAGGATAAGATATGGTTAAAGAGTGGCAAAGAACAGAGGAAACTTGAATGGGTAGTAAAAGCTAAGGATGGTGATATTGTGAGGCATGATAGGATATTTGTCACAAGATTGCATATGAATTTCTAGTGTTAAGTCTAGGTTGCATTAAGCAAACTCTTACTGTTTAACAGAACTTTGTTAAAGTAGGGTAACAGCAAGTTAGATTTTCTGTGATGTCTCAACAGAGCAAAGGTCGTAGCCATAAGTGCTTTGGGAATGCAGCTCTAAACCTTCATATCTGCCACCATTTCTTACGTTCCTGTATCTGTAGACCCCATAGTCAGGCAGCTCTTTAGTAAGGTGAGTGGATCCAGGATTGTTCTAACATAATACTGTAAGGCTTAATTTACTAAATAGATTATGAAATAGTCTTGGTTTTAAATAAAAATTAAGGAGGTTTTGTTAATGACAGCATTCCATGTTTATTAAAGCTTGATTTCTTTTGGTGCTTTAATACATATTTGCATTTGACCTACTGTGAGTGCCCTTTAAATATAATATCGATACCACTCGGAGTGTGTTTAAAATAGTAATTTATATAGAGTCTGTGCCTGTGTTTAAGGGATTCTTACTGTTTCCATTTCCTCAGATGCTGAAAAGCATAGCAAAAATTTTTTTACAGGTGGATACTCTTTGTAGTTTAGCTTAGAAATAGAACAAACAATAGAATAATGTAATATATGATCATTTTATTTGATCATATGTTTGTTTTGCCTGTATTTTATTTAAGTTTATAAATACTGCCTGGTAGTATTTTTGTATGTATTTAGACTCCTTAATTTTCTTATGATTTCACAGCAGTTTCTCAGTAACTTCAGATTTCTCATGTTTAGTGATTGCTCCCTACTCCTATCTCTAACATTAAGGCTATATTTTCAGGTATATTACTATAAATGGAGCAAGGGTAAATGTATCAAGTGATATATGGCTCATTAAAGCAAGATTGTTTAAATAAATCCTCAGTTTACTCTAAATGTTGGAATGCCCCAGACCAGTCCTAAGGCCATCTTTATCCTTTCTGTCCAGGTAAGAACTTTATTATCTGTATCCTTACAACTCTCATATTTCCATCTCCAACACTGACAGACCCTCTGAACTGTGGGTTTATGTATCCAACAGTTGGATGACTACTTCTCAGAGCTGACAAGTCCAAAACAAGCAAGTTAAGTAATCCGAAATAGAGATCTTGATTTTCATCCTCTCAGAACCACTTCTCTTACAATCTTGCCATCTCAATGAGTAGTAGCTTGAAAAATCTGGTTCACTCCACTTTCAAAATATCCATAATTCAACCAGTTTACCATTTCTGCCTCTGTTGCACAGATTAAGGCCATCATCTTTTGCCAAAAGAATGGAATTATTTCTTAATAGTCTTTGTCATGGTATTCTTCTGGTATAATAGCCAGAACAGTCTTTTTAGAGTTTAAGCTAAATTATGTTACCTGTGCTCAAAACCTTCAAAGCCTTCCTATCTCTCTTAAGGTAATACCTAGAAATCTATGTGGCTGTATATGAATTGGCTGTCTTTTACTTCAGATACCCGTTATATGTCTCTTGTTCATCTCTGTTTACACTGGTTTGGTGTTCTTAAGGCTTATACCTATTGCTTTTGTCCCTTGTCGATGGTACCCACATGATTTCCTTGTTCACTTATTTCAGAGCTCTTAAATAACGCCTTTTCAGATAGGCTTTCTCTGATCAACTTCATCAGAAAATAGTCATATTTTATCTTCTCTTACCTTTCTGTATTTTTCATCATACAATTTAATGTTATTTGACATCTTTCATATTGATTTCTTTGTCATTTTGCTGCTTTACCACTGGAATGTAAGCCTAGTGAGACATACAATAGCAGGTAGTCAGTAGATATTACATGAAAGAATGAAGATATGAACTTTGTACAAAATGTCTCTCCCTTTTTAACTATGTTGCAGAAATGTAGGGGGACATTTTTTAGCATCAGCTAATGTGTAAACATCACATACATTACACTACATAGGACATGAATAATGACAACATCTCAAATACTTGCCCCTTGGCAAGTCACTGTGTTGCATGCTGCACATGCGTTTCTCAGATTTGGTAAGAGAGCTAGTAAGTCTTTTCATCTTAGTTCTTCTTTTTTTTGGTACCGGGAATTGAACTCAGGACCTTGTGCTTGCCAGGCAGGTGCTTGTGCCTATATCCCCAGTCCTAAGCCTTTTCATTTTAGTAGACTATAGTGATGGAGCTTGGGTTGTACTTGAGTGTATTTTCATATAAATAAGCATTTATGGACCAACTAACATCTCCAAATACCTCTTTCAGAAGTAAAAGAAGTATCTTTAATCACTTAAGTGGTTCCTCTGTTTTCTAGATTTTCTGCTGTGGGTGCTGTCACTGTCATCTTCAGATTGAGTCTTTGTGAATCTATTCGTATACTTCTAGTATACCCAAGAAACTGAGGGATATTTTGAAATCTGTTTCCCTTTAAGGTGAAATAACTAACAAAAGGTACGGTTAACTAACACTGTTATCTGTCTAGATTGTGTTTGAGTAGTAATTGAACAATCTTTATTGAGGCTGTGCAATTTTTTAGGTTTAGAGGATACAGAATCAAGTTATTAGGTCATGCGCTGTTTAATAACTAGATAGTTGTAATAAGGTAAATAATGGAGTAAAGGAGGAGGTACAGGTTACTGTGGGAGCATAGAGGAAGGATACCTAATTATCTTGGAGATGATATCTAAGCCAAAACCTCCAGGATGATTGGGGATGATTAAGGATCATGTTCTAGGCAAGAATAACAACTTTTCTTAGAGTCAGACAAGAAGTCAGATCAAGTCCATTGAATTGCAGAAAGTTCAGTATTGATGGAGTGGAGAGTTAGATGATGGTAGGAGGTGTGAAAAATGTAGCCATGAGTAAAAAAAACGTGACCAAATTGAGAGAGACCTTGGCACAGTGTTAATGTGCTTGGTTTTCTGACAGACATGAGGAACCAAGGGCTTTCGTCACGGAAGTGACGTGAGTCCCAGTCCTGCCCACTTTCCTACCAGTATCGTGTCAACCTGTACCTTCTCTTTCAAATATGAGGAAACCTGCTTCTAATGGTGGGAAGGATGGAATGAGTGAGCTGCCTTTGTCTGGGTCTTCTCAAAAGGAAGAATGAGTAAAACCTACTTACCCTGTTAAGGTTTTCTAAGGAAAAGTTTTTGGAATTAGAATGAATTTTGAATTTTATTCATTTATATCATATTTTCCCCCAAAAAATGATTTCAGGGAATATTAGAGGAAGTAGTTTAAGCAGAAGAGGTCAATGAAAATTAGAGGGATGTTGTTCTTGCAAATTAATTGAAAGCAGAACTTTTTGATTCACAAGGTCCTTCATTTGTTCCTAAGTACTATGTCTCTCCTAGGGTAATTATGAGGATTAAAAGAATAAATCACTCCGGAAATGTTTGTTCTTCTTACGAATATCTCATACCAGAAAATTGTCTTTAGCTTTTCCTACTCATATACCTCCTATACACTTCTTTAAAATATTTCTGTGCCAGTTTCCTTCTATTCATTGTTAGAACTACATTCTTTGCCTGAAATTCTGCAGTAGCCATCCCCAAGTGAATTGCATGCTTCCAATTTTGCCTATTTTAGTCCCAGTTTAGACAGTAAAATACTGTAAAGAGAAATTCTGTGAATCATTTATGTGCTTAAAACTTGTTAGTGACTAATAAGTTGTTTTGTATATAGTGGTTTATGAATCTTGGGACATTTCTCATACAATGATTCTGTGCATTTTTATGAGGAGAAATGTTAACTTTTATGTTTCATTGCTGGCTAAAATCAGAATTCATCATATCTTGTGAAGTTTTGTGGGGTTGGCTGCTCCATGCCATTTTCATGTTGCACGTTTCATAAACACTTCCATAAGTTTCAGGCTGTTTAACTGCTTAGAATTGTTCTTTAGTGCCTTGTTCTCAGGCTCCTGTTTCTTCACTCACACATTTTTCTCCTGAAATAATCTTTCTGTGCTTTGTGTCTTCAGCTCCTAGTTATCTTTCATATTTCCTCTCTACTGAATTGCCTTTCTTTCTGTTGACATACCCTGGAGGCATTCTTACGATACCAAAATCATTTGGCTTTTTCGTTTAAACTTAAGTCCCTGGAGGAATCCCCTTACAAATCCTGAGAACTTGAAGTAAGGTACTAGATTCTGAAGTCTGCAGCAGAGTTTGATCTATACTGGAATACACAGTGACAGTCATTTGGTCATCAAACCTTGAAGGACAGTGATAACCTCCCAAACAGAAATTTGAAAGAAAAAATACCTGCTCCCTGGGGAACACAGATATTTCTAGGTTTGGCTGGGAAATTTCTGAAACAGCCAGAGAGAAGGAAGAAACCAAGAACTACTGTTGTAAAAGGTAAAAATCAGCAATTTCTAAAAAGTCTCCATTTCTCCATAAGGTCAGGTAAAATAAGTACTGTAGGCAGTGACTTGTCCAGAGTGGCCTTTGCATTCCCAGATACAGAAGCTGGGTTACGAGTTCAGGAAACACTGCACCCTTTCTTTTCCCATGCATTGTGTTCTTGTTATCTGCTGCTTTAGACTGTTTCTGCTTTTTTGTGTTTAGCTTTTTTTCCTCTTTGAAGTTTATGCCTTCTGATAGCCCCCTTTTTTCCTATTTTATTGTTGAGTGAGCTCATAATCACTTGTCAGTGAAAACTGGTACCTAAACTCATTCTGTTTATTAAGTCTTCTTCAGATTGCTGTCTGTGTTTATATGGTAAACTCCTTACTCCTGAGCACTTCCGTGTCCCAGCCATTTTATTTGTGATAACGTTCACTAGTGCTTCACGCTGCTTTCCACAGCTAATATGTCAAGTTGGTGTTTTACCCTTGAAACTGTAGTGAAAAACATGCCTGAGATTATAATCTTTGGGTGGTTTCTTATTTTCTTAAACTTGTCTCTTGTTTAACTTTTTCTTACCCACTGCTGCCATTTACTGTTAGTCCTCTGACGGTAATCATTTCCTGACATGTATTGTGTAGACACAAGGGACTGAAGAGTAACAGTATTTCATATGTTCTTCCTCTGGAGTACAGTAGACATTTAGTAATTAGCAGAAGACAGACTTTCTAAATTTATATATGCAAGGGATAAAGTATAAATGCCTTTTAAATAATTGTACTAACACCAGAATTCCATGTATGATTTTTAATATGCAGTACTGCAGTGTTAACTGTCAGCACATTGTTGTATGCAACAGATCTCTAGAACTTTTCATCTTGTAAAACAGTATCCTTGGAACAACTACCTCCTTTTTTCTCCTTCCTTCCATCCGTTCACAAATTGCATTGTGCTTTTTCTAAAATTTGAGGTACTTCATGCAAATGGAAGCATGAAGTATTTGTCTTTTTATGACTGGCTTACTTCCCATAGCACAATGTCCTCAAAGTTGATATATGTTATAGAATATTATAAGATTTCTTTTTTTTAGGGTTGAATTGCATTTCATTGTATTTATGTATCACATTTTCATTATCTAACCAATTATTGCTAGACATGTAGGTCACTTCCACTTCTTGTACTTGTCTACTATGAAAAATGCTGCAATAAACATAAGTGTACAGACATCTCTTTGAGATCCTGTTTCTTTTTTGGGAGGATATATATATCCAGGAAGATTACTGAGTCATATGCAAATTCTGCCTTTTAGATTTAATATTATTTTAGCATCTTTTGCTATAAAATAGCACAGGGTTTCATAGCCAAATAATACCTTCTCCCCTGTGCTTAAACTCCCAATTATTAGCATTTGCCCTCTGATACATACGGTAGAACTGATAAACCTACATTGACATACAGAATTTATCCAAAGTCTGTAGTTTACATTAGGGCTTTTTCTAGGTGTTGTACATTCATTTATTGAAGGACATCTTGCTTATAGCCACATTTTGACAGTTGGGAATAAAACTGCTATAAATATCCATGTGCTCATTTTTGTGTGTACATAATTACTCGGTTTTTTGTGTAAATACCAAG